CCCCCCCCCCCCGATCACACACACACACACATACACACGCACACACATACACACACACATACACACACACATACACACAGACATACACACACATATACACACACACATACACACACACATACTTGCGCGGGGTTTCAAAGCAGTTTTTTTTTTTCTTTTCTTTTTTTTTTTTAATTTTTTTTTACACAATAAAAAACAGCAATGCCCCGAAAAAAAAAATGGGCGTGTAGGGTTTTTTTAGCCCTACACGCCCATATATATATATATTTTTCATGCGTTAAAAGAAAAAAAAATCCTGCACCAAACTCGGTCGTTCGGCTGTGGCCGAACCTGACCGATTCGGCCGTCGGCCGAGTTTTTGCCCCCGACCGTGACCGGGCGTGCAATATAGCCCGGTATAGGCAAATCCATATTGTGGTCTGATGTCTCCTCCTCGTTATCGAGCACATCAAAGTGCTCACCCGCATCCGGCTCATCGGCGTATGTCTTCGCACGCAGTCTGTCTTCTTGTTTGTTGAACCACAAACGCTCACACCGTGCTATGAATATTTCAATCGCACCATTTTTTGCCTCATGGTAGCCTTGGAGATGTTCGATGGCAATCACTTTTCGGTGCATATAACCGATGTCCTTTGGAGTCTTCGGGGCGTTGCCGAACAAGTATTTCCATAGAGAGTCCCTCTTCTTGCGAAGCTTGAGGTACATGTCTCTCCCTGGAAGCCACGGAGTTTTGGGCCGTTCGAAGTGGCAACGACTTTCTGGCCTATGGACCTGTATATCGAGGAATGTGGACGTCCAATCGAGCATTGTTGAATTGTTGTCACACGCAACAACATTGTGTCCTGACCGCAACACTTCCCAGACTGACCCTGCCTGCACATTCCCGAGCAGCAGCACACCTTCGCCATCCTTTGCAAACCATTTGCACAATTCCTTAATTTTTTTTGGCTCTCTCTCCCAGTCCCCGTACACGGCTTTTGTATCGTCTGATATCCCAACACGCTCGTTCATGCATTGCACAAATAAGTCCTCCTTCACGTTCTCGTCGAACCACATGACATGGTTCCGTGGCTGCACAGTCACCTTCCTGTAGTCTTTGTTCGACGCATGCATGACAACGGTGATGTAGTCCCGAGGTCGCAGTGGAAGATTTCTAGCGGGAACGACATATTGGTCCTTCCCAAAATGTCTCTCCCACCGACCTAGAATCACTTTGACGTGATCCCAACGAAGCACGTTCTTCAATACAGTTTGCTCGACTCTTAACGTCGAGAATATGACAATGACCCAATCCGTGCCACAAAAGGTGTTCATCATCTCTGGGAGCACTGCGAATCTCTCATCTGACCACTCGTGCGCGGCTGTCGACTTGCACGGGCACAGGTCCAGGACTGCGAGGCGGCAATTGAGCTTCTTAACAGCTCGTGTGATCTCCTCTGATGGTTGCAGCGCCTCGTACGGTGCCAAGCATATCGGAAGAAACGTAGTGTGATCGTTGTTTGTATCCCACATCACATGCCGCACATTTGCACTTATGGGCCGCAACTCGTCCCGTAGCTGCTTGATAGCCCCAATTATTTAATGCATGAACACTTTCAGATAATACGGACACTCCGCATATATTGTTCGCGTCAACTTGAACCCTCCCACCTTGCCCACCTTTGGTTCATCAATGCCGCCTAGACGTTTTGGCACATCTTTCGCCTTGTGAGCTGACACCTTCGTCTTGTTTTCCTCCCATTGTTCCTTGGTGAGTCCCGCTGGGGCAAATCTGTCCATTACACGCGAGTAGCCAATGAAAAACTCATCGATTCACTCGTCCTCCTTGCGACCTTCCGTTTTGAAAACCACATAGTTGAAGAGGCGTATCATGTATCTCTCATGTCGAACCTCAACCCGAATGTCGTCCATGTTCAACAAGTTCTTGTTGAACGTCCGCCCCGTTGTGACAACCACCTGGTGGTCCAATATCATGTCCAACACCATTTCCTTCTCCTTTGCAGTCAAGTCTCCGAACACCTTCCACACGCTTTGCGGAGGGTCTCGAATGCAGACGTAGTGCCCGTCAGGCGATTTGTTGGACTGGACGTAGGGCACCAACTCCTTCTTGCCTTTCATTGACAACGCGAATGGACCCGGACCAGCTATGGCGACTTGTTTCCCTTGTTGATCCACCGGAGGCACGCCAGTCTTATCAGGAAAGAGTCCCGCCTCCCACGAGTCAAAGAATTGGGTTAGAAGGTCCCACACTCTGTTGCCAACGTAAGATGCTATCTCACTAAATTCGACCAATTCGTGTTGTAGGCCGGCTTCAGTGTTTGCCCTCGCAGTTCGGAGTCAGCAGCCAGTCGGACAGCTCTGTGGATGAATTTCTGATAGTTATCTTCAAGGCCTCCTTGTCCGCTTCCGGTGGTGCGTGTTGCCAATCGCCAGAAGGCATCCCCATGTCAACCCACAAGTCTCTGATATTTTTCACCGACACACGGAAGGAATCCGGGATAGCTCGTGTCTCCCTTGTGTTATCGAAAGTCGAAATATGAGCATATCCGTCGAGATTGTTATCATCGAAATACACAGCACGTGCACGCAATGAACGCACGCCCCACTTCTGCGCAGCCGGTGAATTGGCCGCAACCAGTCGCCGACAAGCCTCCGTTGTGTGTTGTCCACCCACCGCGTACCAATGGTACATGTGCGTGTCATCCGCGTCGAAATGTTCAGGTTTCACACGCACCCATTGCTTTTGACCATGAACATCCACTTCCGTCACCGGGGCCAATATCCATGTGGCCCTGTCCCACTCTCCCTTCTTCTCTGGCAGTTCCATTGCTCTCATGATGGAAACGACAAGCATGTCATTCAGCGGTCCGACATTGTACTCCACAGGGCCTCCCACGGGGTTTGGCAAAATCTTCATGCAGTCCACGTAGATCTCTTGAGGTCGTTGCATTGCATTCCCGTCACTGTCGTACTCCAGGAAGAAACAAGTTGTTGTGTCGAAGGCGACCGACTCCATCTTCCCGGCTCTCGCGGTGTGGTCTCTCGGGTCAACCCGAACTCCCTCGTCGCCGGAGTCAGCAACCTCTTTCCTTCCTTCAACTCCGACTTTCTTCTTTGCATTTTTTGCGGGCTGCTCACGCCTCTCTTTCTCGGGTTTTTTCGATTGTCTTTCTAAATGTTGCACGTATGTGGTATGAGACGCGCCCAAACCAAGTATCTCCGTCCGACGTCACTCACTCTTCATTTGTCGTTTGCGCGAGTTCGCTGATGCTTGTGTGCCGGCGACTTCGACGTCCCAGTTTGTTTCCCCACCGCTTTCTTCCTCTTCGCTCTCCTCGTCTCTTCCTTTGTTCTTGCGTTCGTGTGCAGTTGTTTCTTCTGCATCTCCCTCGTTCTCCTCCTCCTCGCCGTTCTCCCCTTCGTCTTCACTCCCCTCGTCCTCTCTTGCGCTGTCGTCCCCATAGTCCTCGCCGCTCTCCCGCTCATCACCGTCGTCCTCCGTGGCGTCGCCCCACGTACTTCCTCCCTCGGCGCCCTGTTCACTCGACTTCCTCTCATGTTCGTCATCCCCATCATCCCCATCGGGACAGTGGCCGGAGGACGGCACCCCACGGGTGTCACATACAGCATTCTCTTTGTCCTTGTCACGTGATGAAGCCTTTTTGCGATGCTGCGTCCCACGAGAAGAGACTGACGACGCCTTGGCGGCCTTCGACGTTTTTTCCTTCGTGGTCCCCGGTTTGGAAAACCCATCCTGAGAAGGTGTTTCGGTTGTCACGACGAGTGCCTTTTCGGTTGGTGCGGTGTTCTTCGCCCTTGCCGAAAGTGTTCCACCCTTAGTTCCAACGCCGAGAGCGGATCGCAACGTACCTTGCTTAGACTCCCCGTGTTTGTGTGTCCTCAAAATGTCCTCCAACACCTCCCTCGAAGTGTGCGCAGCCACGAATGGCGGCAACAAACGCATGTTGCTGTCCACCTTGACCTTAAAGCCCGCAACTCTATAGCATGGCGTTTTCCTGAGGAACTTGATCAGTCCCACCATCTCGACAGCCTTCAGTTTCTTCGACCTATCAAACGGAGGCAATGCCACAACGTTCATGCCGTAGTCAGCAAATCTCGATAAATGCAGCGACACTTTCTTGTAATTCCCCGACAGTTCGACTCCTCCACTGTCGAAGCATGTGGTCAAGTGAAAATCGTAGTACCCCTCTTCACCGGCAAATTTGTCGACGCCATAATTGTCGATCCCGCGGCACACGTAAAAATGTCCGCCATCATCCTTCAGGAATATCACAGGACCACACCCTTGTTGTTTAACCCCACCGAACCAGTCAAGCGCCCATTCCATCCCACGGAACAATGCCGCTCTGCCAATTACCTTGGGGGTGGACGTCTGCGACGAAGAAGGAACCCCATCTACATGCCCACATAAAAAAAAATATGTGATCAGCACAAGCGAGGCGAAGGCAAGCGATGCCCGAGGCCATTGGTCATCGAGCGCCGACGCGACACCCAATGGTGTCGAGCAAGAAACCATCGACACGGGAGCGATGGCACAGTGGAACCAAGTAGCCAACTAGCGATGAACAGACAACACATTGGTTCCAATTGCAAACCACGTTGAAGTCCAAGTAGTCAAGCAAAGAGCAGATATCACAGTGAAACCAAGAACCATCCATATGCGAACGAAGTGCAGAAATGCAAATTGCAGTTGACGCTGAAATCCAAGCAGTCTAGCAAAGAGCAGATATCACTTTGAAACCAAGATACCATCCACATTGGCCTGACCTTCGCGCAGCGAGGCGACGCCCTATGTTCGGGTCGCCCCTACCATCGAGCGCCAACGCGACACCCGACGGTGTCGAGCCAGAAAGCACATTGGTTCCATTTGCAAACCACGCTGGAGTCCAAGTCATCAAACAAAGAGTAGATAGCACATTGGTTCCAATTGCAAACCACTCCGAAGTCCAAGAGGTCAAGCAAAGAGCAGATAGCACAGTGGAGCCAGGAAACCATCCACATGTGGACGAAGCGCAGAAATCCAAACTGCATATCACGCTGAAGTCCAAGCGCCCATGCAAAGATCAGACGGCACACTGGAACTAAGGAGCCATCTGCATTGGCCCGACCCTCGGGAGGCGAGGCGACGCCCGACCATCGAGTGTCGTGGCGGCGCTTGATGGCCCGGCGAACGGTGCGCGTGGGGCGACCATCGGATGTCGCCGCGGCGCCCGATGGTGTAGACGGGGTGACCATCGGGTGTCGCCGCGACACCCGATGGTGGCAAGCAAGAAAACATCTGTACGAGAACGTAGCAAATTGGGACCCAGTACTCGGGCAAAGAGTAGATACCGCATCAGTCCCAATTGCAAATCACGCTGAAGTCCAAGTGGTCAAGCAAAGAGTAGATAGCACAGCGGAACCAAGAAACTATTCACATGTGGACGAAGTGCATAAATCCATATCACGCTGAAGTCCAAGTGCCCATGCAAAGACCAGATGACACAGTGGAATCAAGGAACCATTCGCATTGGCCCGACCCTCGTGAGGTGAGGTGACGCCCGACGGGCGAGCATCGGGTGTCGCCGCGGCGCCCGATGGTGTAGACGGGGCGACCATCGGGCCGTGACACCCGATGGTGGCAAGCAAGAAACCATCCGTATGAGAACGGTAGCACATTGGGACCCAGTGCTCGGGCAAAGAGTAGATAGCGCATTGGTCCCAATTGCAAATCACGCTGAAGTCCAAGTGGTCAAGCAAAGAGCAGACAGCACACCGGAACCAAGAAACCATTCACATGTGGACGAAGTCCACAAATCCATATTGTATATCACGCTGAAGTCCAAGTGCCCATGCAAAGATCAGATGGCACAGTGGAACCAAGGAACCATCCGCATTCGCCAGACCCTCGTGCAACGAGGCGACGCCCGACGGGGCGACCATCGGGTGTCGCGACACCCGATGGTGTCAAGCAAGAAACCCTCCGCACGAAAACGGTAGCACATTGGGACCCCGTGCACGGGCAAAGAGCAGAGAGCACATTGGTTCCAATTGCAAATCACGCTGAAGTCCAAATGGCCAAGCAAATAGCAGATAGCACAGTGGAACCAAGAAACCATTAACATGTGGACGAAGTGTAGAAATCCATAAACGGCAGCACATTCGGACCCAGTGCTCGGGTAAAGAGTAGATAGCGCATTGGTCCCAATTGCAAATCACGCTGAAGTCCAAGTGGTCAAGCAAAGAGCAGATAGCACTGCGGAACCAAGAAACCATTCGCATGTGGACGAAGTGCAGAAAACCATATTGCATATCACACTGAAGTCCAAGTGCCCATGCAAAGATCAGATGGCACAGTGGAACCAAAGAACCATCTGCATTTGCCCGACCCTCATGCGGCGAGGCGACGCCCGACGGGGCGACGGTCAGGTGTCGCCGCGACACCCGACGGTGTCAAGCGAGAAACCCTCCCTACGTGAACGGTATCACATCGGGAACCCGTGCACGGGCAAAGAGTAGATAGCGCATCGGTTCCAATTACAAATCACGCTGAAGTCCAAGTGGCCAAGCCGCAAAGAGCAGATAACACAGTGGAACCAGGAAACCACCCACATGCGGACGAAGTGCAGAAATCCGAACTGCATATCATGCTGAAGTCCAAGTGCCCATGGAGAAAGAAGATGGCACAGTCGAACCAAGGAACCATCCGGATCAGTCCCAACCCTCGCGCGGCGAGGCGACGCCTGACCATCGGGTGTCGCATCCGCGCTCGATGGTCCGGTCGGCGCTGCGGGTGGGGCGACCATCGGCTGTCACCACGGCGCCCGATGGTGCAGACGGGGCGACCATCGGGTGTCGCCGCGACACCCGATGGTGTCAAACAAGAAACCATCCGTATGAGAACGGTGCCACATCGGGACCCGGTGCTCGGGCAAAGAGCAGATAGCGAATTGTTTCCAATTGCTAATCACGCTGAAGTCCAAGTGGTCAAGCAAAGAGCAGATAGCACAGCGGAACCAGGAAACCATCCACATGTGGGTTGGGCAGAAATCCAAATTGCAAATCACGCTAAAGTCCAAGTGCCCATGCAAAGAGAAGATGGCGTTGTGGAACCAAGGAACCGTCCGCATCGGCCCGACCCTCACGCGCCGAGGTGACGCCCGACCATCCGCCAGTGCGAGTGGGGCGACCATCGGCTGTCACCGAGGCGCCCGATGCTGTAGACGGGGTGACCATCGGGTGTCGCCGCGACACCCGATGGTGGCAAACAAGAAACCATATGTATGAGAACGGGAGCACATCGGGACCCAGTGCTCGGGCAAAGAGTAGACAGCGCATTGGTCCCAATTGCAAATCACGCTGAAGTCCAAGTGGTCAAGCAAAGAGCAGATAGCGAAGCGGAACCAAGAAACTATTCGCATGTAAACGAAGTACAGAAATTCGAAACCAAGAAACCATTCACGTGTGGACGAAGTGCAGAAATCCATATTTCGTATCATGCTGAAGTCCAAGTGCCCATGCAAAGAGCAAATAGCACAGCGGGACCAAGAAACCATTCACATGTGGTGGGCTGGGCAAAAATCCAAATTGCAAATCACGCTGAAGTCCAAGTGCCCAGGCAAAGAGCAGATGGCGCTGTGGAACCAAGGAACCATCCGCATTGGCTCAACCCTCTCGCGCTGAGGTGACACCCGACCATCCGCCGGTGCGAGGGGGGCGACCATCGGCCGTCGCCGCGGCGCCCGATGCTGTAGACAGGGTGACCATCGGGTGTCGCCGTGACACCCGATGGTGGCAAACAAGAAACCATATGTATGAGAACAGGGGCACATCGGGACCCAGTGCTCGGGCAAAGAGTAGACAGCGCATTGGTCCCGATTGCAAATCACGCTCAAGTCAAAGTGGTCAAGCAAAGAGCAAATAGCAAAGCGGAACCAAGATCGGACCACCGGGCGTCGAGGCGTCGAGGCGAGACCCGGCCAACGGTCATCCGATGGTCGGGCGTTGCGGTGACGTCGAATGGTCTGACCATTCGGTGACACGTCGACGGCCAATGGTCGGGTGTCGCCTCGACTCTCGACGGTCCGACCGTCAAGTGTCGCTTCGGCGGCCGACGGTCGGGTGTCGCCTCGACGCCCAATGGTCGGGTGTCGCCTCGATGGTCGAGTGTCGCCTCGACGCCCAATGGTCGGACCATCGGGCGCCCGATGGTCGGGTGTCGCCTCGACGCCCAACGGTCGGACCATCGGGTGTAGCCTCGATGCCCAATGGTCGGGTGTCGCCTCGATGCCCAATGGTCGAACCATCGGGTGTCGCCTCGACGCCCAATGAGAGAACGGCGCCCGATGGTCGGGTGTCGCCTCGACGCCCAATGGTCGGGCCATCGGGCGCCGAGGCAACACCTGACGATCGGACCACCGGGCGTCGAGGCGAGACCCGGCCAACGGCCATCCGATGGTCGGGCGTTGCGCCGACGCCAGATGGTCCGACCGTCCGGTGACACGTCGACGGCCAATGGTCGTGTGTCGCCTCGACTCTCAACGGTCCGACCGTCAGGTGTGGTTTCGGCGCCCGACGGTCGGGTGTCGCCTCGATGGTTGGGTGTCGCCTCGACGCCCAATGGTCGGACCATCGGGCGCCCGATGGTCGGGTGTCGCCTCGATGGT